TTGCTAGAAGAGGCGTATCCGAGACTCCTTTCACGAGGTGTTGTGGCCCAAGCCACACGAAATCCAGTTCTGTGCCATGTTGTTCTTGCTGTTCTGAAAGGAGAAAGCCTCCCAGTAGGACCAGAGTGGAACCCTTTCAATACCAGAAGCTCAGAACTCGGTCTCCATGAGGGTTGCCTACTCTGGGGATTAAGAGTAGTGATGCCAAAATCATTGCAGGCCCAAGTTCTTGGCGTTCTTCATGCCAGCCACCCGGGTACCGAGAAGAGCAAGATGATTGCCAGGAGCCATGTTTGGTGGCCAGGCATTGACAATGACATTGCCAACAGCGTGAAGAGCTGCGCTACGTGCCAGACTCAACATCGAGCTGCACAGCCGGTTCAGCAGACGCCGTGGCCTTTTCCACAGCGACCCTGGTCAAAACTTCATTGATTTTGGGGGACCATGCTTAGGTCACACATTCTTGGTTATTGTGGATGAGTTCTCAAAGTGGATTGAAGTCTTTCCTGTGCCTTCACATCTGCAGAAGGTACCATTCCTGCCTTGAGAATTGCATTCGCTCAGCATGGCCTGCCTAATGTCATAGTTTCCGACAACGGTCCTGCCTTCACCAGTGGCCAGTACCTTGAGTTCTTAACTCGGAATGAAATATGCCGCACGCTTGTACAGCCTTATCACCCTGCCTCAAATGGTGCAGCTGAACGAGTTGTATAAACTATGAAGAACAAACTCAAGAAGTCTGGTTCTGGGAACTTCCAAACGCAGATCTCCAGGTTCCTGTTCCACTATAGGACCACACCACATGAAGTGACAGGTCGGCCACTGTGTGAACTCTTGACGGGAAGAATGTTCAAGACTCTGTTGGATGTCCTGAGGCCAAGCCTGCAGGCCTCTGTATTTCTAAAACAACTCAAGCAGAAAATGTATGCTGGCAGAGGGTCCTGGCAGGCCCCATCACTGCAGCCAGGTGATGACTTGTAAGCGCAAAACTTTTGCAGGGGTACACCCTGGGTGCCTGCCAGTGTTGTGGACGTCACTCCATCAGCCAGTGTCTGTTTTGAAGATGGCACTTTGGGAAACCGACACAGCAACCACTTGTGCTTTGTGCAGACAGAAACATTGGCCTCTCCTGAAACTGCTATCGCTGCAGCTCCACCACAGTTGGAGCCGCCGCTTCTTCATGCACCAGCTGCTCCAGATGTGCCTCATCAAGAACAGCTACCAGGAACTAGTTTCTCTGGTTGTAGCTGTGCCACGGAGAGCGACAAGACTGCACTCAATAGTGGTGTGCATGTGAACAGTGACGTTCACCATAAACGGATTGATTTTCTGTTTGTCGACGCGCAACAAACTCCAATCTGAGGACCCATCACGCAGTTCATGTCAGACGAGGGAGGAATCCGCGGCATCGGCACATTCAGCGATAAGACTACTTTTGTTCCATCGTTGCTATCTTTTGTTCCAGATTGTTATCTCTCGTAGCTTCGTTCCTGCTTTTTTTACTTGCCATCCTGTCACTGTTGAGGCTCCAGGACACGGCCGCTTTCAGCAACGTTGTCGAAAACTGACGGCCTCGTACGCGAGTTAGGCCTACACCGGTGACTCAGCGACCGCGGTTGATCGCCACGAGTTTGTTATCCTCCCTGTCTTGAGTGATAGCGGGGCTGTTTCTGAAGTTCACAGCCAACGAACGATTGCCACACCCGCTTCACAAATCAGTGTTTTGCGGAACTTCTTTACTGCGGCAGCCAGTCGACAGCACCATGAAAATGGCGCATGTCCGTACGCATCACGATGACAAAGCAGACGCCAAAAACCCCACTTGGCCAATCAGGTGCCTCGGTTTCGTCACATGCCCCAAGCAGCCAATAGAATAGCGTGCTGGTGCTTTTCGATGACGCGTTTTTGCTGAAAAACTAATGAGCATGGCGAGCCACTGGTGGCGGGAAATCGAAGATGAAGAGCGACCTTTCCAAACGAGACCAAAAGATGACCACGATAGCTCATGTGTAATGACAACGGTTCAGCGTGGAAAAAGACTTTAGCGTCTATTTGTGCGCTCAGATTCATCTCACAGGGGCGTTATAAATAGATTTTGTGCCAGAAATAATGACGCGAGCAGCTAGAAACTTCTCAGATAAGTGAAAAAATAGTTGCTGATTCCGAAGATGTCAACTTCAAAAAGTCAATTTTTTCGCGACTTTCGGCCCCCCTAAGTCTGTGTGAAACGTCGTGCACATATAGTACCAGTGAATCCTTGCAACTTGATTCATTTTGTTTGCTATTTTCAGTACACAATTCTTTTTTCTATTTCTTTTGTGATTAGTCTAGTGCATGATGCTTTCCTTACAGTCAGCGAGTACCCCACCCCTCGAAAACAGCCAATTCGCTCAAGAAACACAGCGTTTACAAAACGAAAACATGACCTTTCTGCGTTGATAGGAATCAAGACATCACTATGCCATTTTTCACAAGTTGGACTCAATAGAAGCAAAGCCCAAAAGTGGTTTTCCTGCTTGGGGCGTAAAGTGCCAATATAGTGTTCCAAAAGCAATTCAAACTTATGTCAACAAATGGAAACTTGTTATCTACTTCCAACAGTACTTTCGATATAAAAGTCAAGCATTTTCCCCGAGCATTGAAGGCCTCTTCCCCATTGTTCTAGAATGCTTTCTTGTCTTCATTGCTGCCCAATACCAAGTATAATCATGAGCACATTTCTACACTGTGTCACCCCTTCTAAATCTTTCTAGATCCCCCTGTCAACACTTCCCAGAAAAATACTACAAAGAATAGGAGCTACCTTAGAGCTGATGCACACACTTTTTGCCTGTATGTTCACTTCATCACAGAATCCTACAAGCATATTCTATGAATATTGCGTATGTTACAGGCAAAGCTGCTAAAAAATGAATTCATTCCAATCAGGCTGGCTAGCAAAATTATTTCACTTGAAAACAATCATTTATTTTCCTTTGTGTGTTCATTTAGAAGCAGTACAAGAGATGAGAGGCACAAAAAAATATTTAACCCATGTGCTGCACTGACAAAAAGATTTTGTACCTTGGAGGTTTTCCCTCTATTATTTTCTTTCACTTTTTTTTTTGCAAGAGGTAGCTTATGACCCCCTTATCACTGCTAAAAACCTCATTTGCCAGAGAGCACGACAGATTTCTTTACAGACATTTTTAGAGCACCTAGTCGCCGCTTCAGTTTGAGAGAGTGCAGAGCTAGGCAGGAGCAGTTTGGGCAAGAAAGTAAACACAGCTGCTGCCCACATGACCACACAAAATTGTCACATGAACACCGCGTGTGCTCTAGCGTGCAGGGGAGCATCGCAATGAGGGCTAGCGTAGCTCCCACATGCACAGCCGCAAGTATCAAGGAAGAAATCACAGGCAGCCTAAGGCCTTAGCGAACAGCCAACACAAACTCGTAATAGTATAGTTTTGCTTACACTCCCACCGCGTTGATTTTGACATCGCAAGCGGCTCCACTTCTCACTTAGTTGCAGAGCCTGCACTTTAAAATTGATTTTAAATATGTTTTAGGCAATATTTGCTCTTGATATTTCGTAGATGTAGCACATGTCTCCAGATAAAAACATCTCCTTCATTATCGCCTTTGAAATTTCGTGTCAGTGCTCCTTCCAGTCTTCTTTTGTGTCCTCGTGTGCACTCCTACTGTTTTCTTCTGTGTCGATCCCCTTTTGCGCTTCAAAATGATAACTAATTGCTGAGCCAACTCTCTTTTTTCCTCTATACAACACTTGGCTTCATTATCCACCAATTTTTCCATAAAACTGTGTCAAGTGTTATCGCATGTGCCTTTTGTGCAACGAAGATGGTCGAATTGTTTCATCTCTCCTTCAGCTGCATTGACTGGCAGCACTCGTGCCTTTCCATGAGCCCATAAAACCAACGACATGCTAGAAGCAATGTCATCAATTTAAATTTTGTATGGAACATGACGGCAAGAATGTCCACTTAATCGACATCACAAAATTTGGCAGATCCCACATTCCTATCGAGTCGATGTTATGGGTAGCATGCAGATGAAAGGTGACTGTGTTGTGATATTTTCATAGCACGAAACATTAAGAAGTGGCAGTAAAGATAGGTACAAATACACACACAGACACACGGTGCATATGTTTTATATAACCAATTTTTTTAACAGCTGCATAACGATGACAACAGTAACATGGATATTAGCAACACTAGAAAAGGTAAGCAGAGATGAAACCTTGCTGCTTGCGAGGATGGTAGCCCTGGACACTGCTACTTAAATCAACTTCAGCAGATGGCACCTTACTTCAATTGACATTAACCCGACCTGACGGCTGCATCATAGGGGTGCATATGTAACGTTTATAAAACTGGATAGCCAACTCTGAAACCACAATTCGCGCTCCACAAACATTAAGGTCTCTCAGAAAAGTAGCTACGAGACCTGAATAGGCTCTGTGGTAAAATTGCCACACAGAATGCTGAGGATCGATTCCTGCTGGGAGCTTCACAATTATTCTTTGCATTCGTCGGGTACATTCTGCTGATGTCAGCTTTTTCTGAACGCTCAAGCTTTAATACTACCCATGTCTGTTCTCACCTTTACTAGGTATAATATAAACTGTCAATCACCTGTGGCACAAACCCGCATACCTGTGGCACATATCCACTCAAGAGTATGCGCCTCACGTCTGGCGGAAAGGGTTTGACAATGCAAGCAACAAAATTTCGACATTACTCAGGTCATGATGAGTGAGTCATACTCGTCGAACCATTTTATTTTCCCATACTAATGTTTGGTTTGCCCCTAGTTAAGGGGGTGATCACGAGAGCACGCAGGCGCAGGCGGCTGGCTGGCTCTCAATTAGACAAACAGAAACATACGCCCAAAGTGCCTGCAGCCCACAAAGAAAGACTTCGCATGTTAAAAAGATTTCTAAAAAACAAACCACCTATAGCGTGAGCCATTTCACTGAATATGACTGCACTTACCCTTCTGTGTGTCACCATCATCCGGCTTCTGCTTCTGAGACAGCTGCTGCCAGGCCATTGTGAAGGACTGCCGGATAGCATCACTAATCTGCACATAAAAGGTGGTAGGAACTTTGACCTCTGCTGCATGCTTTTCTTGGCCAATGTGCTGTTCACTTCATTTCAATAAGATATGTAAAAGTTAGCACTGTGTGTCTACTCCAGTTTATGCCGCACCGATCATACTTATGAAGGTGCAAGCTAAAATCTTACCTAGGTTGGTCCTCAACAACACATTTTCTTGATGGCCATATATATAAATAATAAATGTACTGCAAGTGACGCCCATCTTGACGAGAACAGCATCAATATTTTCACAGCACATGCGTTAACCCCTTAACTGCTTTGGACGAGCAGAGCTCGTCCAGCCCAAACTGTCACTAAACTGCTTTGGACGAGTAGCACTCGTCCTAGCGAAATAGGTACTACCCTCTGGCGTTCAGGTGGAAAAGTGCGCACTTGCGACTTACATTTCATGTCATCCACTAGATGGCAGCATATTCATTTATTGCATCCTTAAAGGCCCAAGGGCATTACACAAGGGGGGGGGCAACAAATAAATTGTGTGGGTGTACAATTCAATCTGAGCAAATTATTATAAACAATACACATGGGTGGGGGGGGGGGGGGCAACATACATAAGACGGGGCAACATACATAAGGGGGCAACAAATACACTGTGAGGGTGTACAATTATATGTGAACAAATTATATAAACAATACAGTTCTAAATACGCATATGGTTGTTTGGTCAAGAATGACAACAAAAACTAATCAAACAAAAAACAAAACAAACTTTTGACTGAGAATTAGTGTCAAAACAACATGGCAAAAAAATTATACATACAACTGTCACTGGTAGGATATATCTACAGTCATGGGTTATTGGGTGGAATCAAAGTGGGATTCCAATTTTGCACGGAATGATGTGCAGACAGGTGTGGTAACTATGGCGTCGGTGAGGCGATTCCAAAGTCTAATTGCTAAAGGGAAAAAGAAGTCATTCATTCCAGATGTACGGCCGTTGATTGGTGCAATGGGGATAGAATGGTTAATGCGAGAAGAAGTTCTGTTAGGGGGCTGTAAATGTTTGTGTCTTAATTTCGGGCGGAAAAAGAAACTGTGCAGGAGGCATAGGCATCAGATCAGGCGGCGTGACGCGAGAGATGGTAGTTGGATTGATTGCTTTAGGGCGGTGACGCTGGTTTCTCTGGAGAACTGTGAGGTTATAAAGCGGGCAGCACGGTTTTGGACTGATTCTAGTTCGTTAGCGAGATATGCCTGGTATGGATTCCAAGTGGCCGATGCATATTCGAGCTTTGGGCATACGTATGTTAAGTATGCTAGTTTTTTAACGTCAGGAGATGCTGATTTTAGATTACGGCGCAGAAATCCAAGCGTGCACAGAGCGTCTGAGCAGATGGACTGCACGTGCAGCGCAAATGAAAGAGTTGGGTCATGGGCACACTGAGATATCTATACGATGAAGCCAAATCGAGAGGAAGCAAATTGATAAAGTAGTATGATGAACAGTAGCGCGCTTACGGGAAAATGACATTGATTTGTACTTGGTTAGGTTTAACAGCATTGATGAGTCTTGGCACCATAGCGCAACTGTGTTGAGGTCTTGTAGTTTAGTGCTGGTTTCGATGTTGTGAAAGGGGCAGCATATGACAGTCGTCCGCAAACAGTCGTAGTTTTGTTTGAATGTTTGTGGGTAGGTCGTTTATGAATATTAAAAATAAAAGGAGTGATAAGCCCGCACCCTGAGATACGCCTGATGATACGCTAGTTAAAGAGGAGTTATGATTATTAGCAGAGGTGAATTGCTTACGGTTAGAGAGGAAGTGTTCAACCCAGGAGAATATATTCGGTGCAATGCCAGGTGAATGAATTTTGCTAAGTAATAGATTAGGTGGTACGCTATCAAAAGCTTTATAAATATCAAAGAATATGGCAAGGATCTGAAAGTTATCATCCATGCTTTTTAGAAGGTCGTGGGTAGACTTGGCCAATTGGGTCTCACATGATAAGTGCTTTCGAAAACCGTGCTGGTGGTTATAGAAGAAATTTATTGATTCAAGGTGAGTCGCGATGTGAGAAGATATAATGTGTTCCAATAATTTAGAGGGAATGCTAGTCAGGGAAATGGGGCGGTAGTTTGCTGGATTAGTTCGTTCTCCAGTTTTGAAGATCGCGACTATTCGGCCTATCTCCCAATTGTCTGGTATTTCGCTTGTTTCAATGGACTGCATGAAGATGAGGCGAAGAATACGATTGACCACTGTGACGGTGGTAACTAAAAGTTCAGGGGTTATTTGGTCACATCCTGGGGCTGAAGAAATCTCAAAACCAGTGATTAGTTTAACGATTCCTTCAGGGTTAAATGCGCCCCGCCACGGTGGTCTAGTGGCTAAAGTATTCAGCTGCTGACCCGCAGGTCGCGGGATCAAATCCCGGCTGTAGCGGCTGCATTTCAGATGGAGGCGGAAATGTTGTAGGCCCGTGTACTCAGATTTGGGTGCACGTCAAAAAACCCCAGGTGGTCAAAATTTCCGGAGCCCTCCACTACGGCATCTCTCATAATCATATGGTGGTTTTGTGACGTTAAACCCCACATATCTATCAAATTTTATTAGTAGAAGATAGCTAGTTTCCTATGTATTGTTCAGAAATAAACTTCATTCTGTTGATTTGACTAAGTATGTGGTGAAAATATTTTTTTCAACATACTCTAGCTGTTAGTACAATCAGATTCGAAATCATCAATAAAAAAATAGCAACTTTCTGACTGGAAATTTTCAAGAAAAAAATAAGCAGTTCAGGGGCTAATGAGGTTATTGTGGTGAGGATCGAAAATGGCATGCGCATACTCTAGCTTTGGCCAGACAAAGGTTTTGAAGGCAACTGTTTTAATAGAAAAAGGAGTGAGCGAAAGGTTACGACATAAGTACCCTAAAGTAAGATTAGCAGAATTTATGATGTCGTTAAAATTTAAACCTGTCTTTATTTTACTTTGTCAAAAAGAAGAGGATGGGACTAAAAGCCGCAGAAGGGGCTTGACAAGAATCCTGACTCCCTGGTACACGGCAGTGCAGTGAGCATTCATAGATATAAATGTAACCAAAGAATTACAATACTATAGATCATCAAAGCTGACAATCGTACAATAGCTAAGATGAACAGTAGCTGCACTTCACCTACTGAACAAAAATTCATTATTACACACTTCATGCAACACATGAAACTGAATGTACCATGAAACTGAACACATACATGTGCACATTGAAAAAATGAAAACACATCGCACAGAAACATACAAAAAAAACAGCGTAAATTCATTTCTGCATGCTGTGTCATTCTGTGGGAAACTTAAACATGCAGTAACGCTTAATATCTTTATTAGATAGGACAAAAGGATTGAAGTCATCATTGAATAGTATATTGAATTGTTTAGGCACTGTGTAACTTAATGACTGTGTACAATCCTATGCCCTAGGGGTGGGTAAAGCCCACCGTTCCTTGAATGTGGTGTCCTTAATAGACCTATCTTCTTTCAGCGTTGCTAAAGTGAGAATGTAGTTTTGTTTATTTTCAAGAAAACACCCATACATCAATGTTAGCCTAAAATCAAATCAAGTAAATACAGGCATAATTTTGATTAATATGACGGGTCCAAGTTAGGTTTTGCAAGATGTTCACACTAAGGTATTTAAATTAATCAACCGTAGAAATCTGGTTAACATTTATATTGTAGTTATAAACAACATGATGATGACGCTGAATAGACATTAACATAAATTGAAAAGCATTCAAGAACATGACCGAAGATTTACACCAGCTCTGTATGCGGGTGAGATCACATTGTAATATGGAATGATCGGGTGGGCTAGTAATTGTGTGGTAGATAACACAATCATCAGCAAATAGACGGATGTGAGAAGAAATGTTTGAAGGGAGGTCATTAATGTACATCATAAAGAGGAAGGGACCAAGTACGGTACCTTGAGGCACACCTGAAAGAACGGGTGTTAGAGATGAAGAGTGCGATTTAGCATGAACGAATTGCTGACGGTTGGTTAAAAAGCCTCGAATCAGGTTTAAAACACAGGGGCTGATGTTAAGACGGGGCATTTTTAATAAAATACTAACATAAAAAACCTTGTTGAATGCCTTTTCGAAGTCTTAGAATATTGTGCCGATTGGAATGTTACGGTCTAGGTTAATGTGTAGATCAGGCAGAAAAAGAAGTTGAGTGTCACAGAAAAAATTTTTGCGAGAACCATCCTGACTTGAGTGAAAAAAATTTACAGATGTTAAGAAGTTAGCAGTATGAGAGTATATGATATGCTTCATTATTTTACAAGTGACGCTTGCTATGAAAATGGGACGGTAGTTAGTCGGCAATGCTGGCTTTCCTTTCTTGATGACTGAGATGACACCTGCAAGTCATGGGGAACTGAACTGTTGTCAAGTGATTTCTGACATATGAGTGATAAAAACAGGGTACACACATGTTTAGTATTTTTGAGCACTTAAGTATTTATACTGTGTATTGTTGTCAATGACGAGTTATTCAATGAGTCTATGACTAACAGCGCCGTCTGAATCCAATGTGATGTTTTGCATCAGCGGATAACCGGCAAATGAAAGATCGGGTAAACTGTCGAGTGGCTCATTATTAAAAACAGTGCTAAATACTTTGTTAAGGCAATCAGCCACTCCATTCTGAAGAATAGGAAGTGCAGAGCGGTCAAATGAAATTTCATTAAAATCCACATTTTGCGCCGACAAGCTTAAAATTACTCTTGAACCAGGTGCGATGGAACGCGCACACCGAATCGGGACCTTTTCGGAAAATAAAACTCGACCCATCATTGTTAAACTAGCCCACTACAAAACGAAAGAACGCATTTTGAGCTGCGGTCGCATGCTTAAAGACACGAACTTCGCCATTAGGGAGGACCTCGCAGCTGCCACACGCATTACGCAGTCAAAGCTGTTGCACTTCATCTGCCCCAAAAGTGCGCATTTGAACCGAGTCTTGAC